GAGAAAATGTTTAATCTAGGTGTTGCATTAACACTTTCGGGTTTAGTTGTTAAGTCCTGCATTTTTTTAAAGCTATTCCTGAAGATAATAGCCAAGACATGAAAGGGTATTAAAGTTCTGCATGGTGAGGTTACTTTATGCATTCTATCAAACTTTGGAGGCAGATAAGCGTAAATAATACTTCGAGCAAAACAGATACGGTGGCAAAGACATCAACGACGAACGGAATACAGGCGATATACCAGGAAAAAGAAGATCTAGAGCCTGCTACACAAAACCTGAATAAATAATTTTTAAGTCGAGGGGTGCATATGACAGCTTTTAACAATAGTGAAAAATTAATGGGAATTTTCTCAAACGATCAATCTATAAGATTTGAGGAAGCAGATATATTGGCAAATCCTGTTGTGAGCAACTATAAAAAATGTATTCGTCGACATGTAGGTGTCAGGATGTAACGAGGATATTCTTAGAGCAATGCGGCTCCAGAAAGAGACTTTAGTCTAATTGATCAATTTGACAAATTTTACATTGGTTACTATGAGCAACGACTCCGACTACTCCTAGGATCTCCATTCACTTCTCCTCAACAAGCACAATTAATAATCGCAGTTCCAGCACACAGGGGATAAGATACCAATGAGGAATGTGGGTTTAGCTTATTATACTAGCCAAAAAGGGCTCACCTTTAAGATAATCCGAATCAATGAGATACTCATTTTTATAGAAAGCGAGAGAGAATGTGTACTTAGTTATATGGGATTGATAAACCTAATACATCAGAAGGAAAAGACATAATACAGCTGTTTTTCATAAACTTTGTCAAAGGATTTAGTGCAGTTTTTTTACACTTTGTAACCCGGTGCTAAAGCTAGAAGAGCCCGTAGATGATGCCGGCAACATACTCCAAGCCAATACACAGATACTAAAGAATCAGTAGAATTATGAATGGAGTATGAAGAGAAGCTTGGTTTCGAATGGTATTTTATCAAGAATAATGTGTCGTAAAGCTAAAATGGAACGTAATTGCCATTACATAATATTAGATATAAAATTTTGGTTTGCCATGGGCACAATGATTTTATTACAAACTCGCTTAACTAAAGTTCTTATAGACATGCAATAAAGTGCTAGAATATTCGCTATTCTCAACATTTCCATCCGAAGTATCATTTTTAACCTTCCGTTGAATCAATATTCCGAATCTTATCCAATGCATGAGATCAAGCTTGCTAGTAGGAGTTTACGTATTTGTCTAAAATTAGCTAGTAAAGAAGTAAACTTTTCCGTCTTAAATAGGAAGATCAAGATTGTGTGGCTTAATGCCTGGTCGCAGTCTGCTTTGGCTATCTAGATATTTATTATTCGCTCGGGTGGGAGGGAGGTCTCCCCGGTCGCACCCTGTTAAACACCCTCAGCTATATCATTCCCTATAATTTCCAGTGGTAATCGTGGAATTGGCCCATTCCCAGACTTTTCGCTTGCTTAGCCTTGAGAGACACTGACCTTAATTCATGATTGCAACTCATCAAATTTTCAAGGAAAGACGATTCTCTTTATATATTTATTCAACTATTGTGACATCTCTGCTAGCTCTGTTCTATCTCCTAGCTGTGTCCTCATACTTCAACCTAATTTATATGGTCAATTTACCTATCTACACACCCCTGTATCTTCCATTGATCTATTTTTCCTAATAAATGTATGTGAGGTGAAATCAGTTATACCATTGATTTTGGATGCCGTCCGCATGTCTTGTGGATTCTCACCGTTTATTTCTATAAAGCCACTTAGCTCACTATACTTCTTCATGCTTTTCCCCATGGCACTTGAAACTCATTCTCTGACATAACCTTTTGTCTTTAATCCCTTTATATCGATAAACGTTCCGTGTGGTCAATTGTTTTGCTATATGTTCATCTTTTTCTATCCTCTGGACTAAGTAAATTTTGGGAGCTATTTTATGCCCAGATTCTTAAGTCAACAAAAACATTACCACTTAAACACAAGACTCGTAAAATTATGGCTTAGAAAGGATGTCCAAATTTTCTCGAATATTAGGCCTAATTCAAGAATTTGAATAAAAACTGTGTTTGAAGAATCCCTTAATCGATTGATGTTGGCGTATCTTTCAATTAGTTGAAGAAATAAATGAAGGGATCCATAAATTAACTGCACTATGGGCTGAAGGATGATTAACTTTGAATTATGGCTGCAGCATTGAGCGAATACTCTCTGTTCAAGCCGTTAAATGGCACCGAAGTAGCCATACTTAGTCCTTGGCTGTCCTTTGACAACCATGGCTGGCGCAGGACATCATGATTTGATATAATTCGGAAATTCTTAATATAAACTAACTTATTTATTTAACATTAAAGAGAAGGAATTGCAACGAGATTTAATTTTGGTATATAGAAAAACTGGGTTCGAAGAATTCCTTAATATATTGATGCCGGAGTACTTTTATTTCGTTTGAAGAGGCGAGAGAAAGCGATTCATAAGTTGGCCTTACTGGATGCTGTAGGGGGATTGCCTTGGAGCGTAATTGAAGATTTGTGTCAATAGGTCCTTGGTGTACCGCAGCTCGACCCCTATTAATCATCGTTGAGCTTACGTCCGTCATGTAACGGACATCGCTAGAGCATAAAATCATGCTTAATGACTTTCACACTCCATTCACTTCGAAATCAATGTATTCATGTGCAATGAAACACAATAACATGCAGTGAGATTTCAGAGTCAAATAAATAAATGTTTTGGAGAGAATGCATCTGTTAGGTCACAATTACATCAGTTACACGTTTCATCTGCAGCCACTCAGCTCAACTTTTCAGCAAGTATTTAGGCAAAGCATAGAATATCGAACCAAATCATGAGATGCTCCAGTAAGTGGATCAAGTTGGACAATAAGAAGTAAGTAGGTTTAAGGCCTGCCACCAATCTTGTATTCGTGTTTTGATGAACTATCGTTGAGCCTGGTGTCCTTCTCTAACGTCCATCATATGACGGAAAAAAGCTCAGTAAGGATTCAACTGGATCGCAGGATGGTACACTGAGGACCTATTTGCACAAATCAACAGTCATGGTTCCAATGCAATCCTCAAACAGCTTCCAGTCAAGCCAACTTACAGATCCATTCCACTCGGCTCTTCAAGTTAAATGAAATGTATACCAGCATTAATTTTTAGGGCCAAAATTTAAATTCAATTACTTTATATTCCAAATAGTTTATTTTAAAGCAGTGACTAAGTTGGGAAAACAAAGCCGAAATATATTTAACCAAAAATTATACTTCAACATGACACATTATAAACATTTAAGATTTAATTTTCATCAGATAAATAATATATTCAGTCAGTAATAAATTGGGTTTAGAGCTTCTTGCTTTTAAATGTGACATAGCGAGACCCTCCTTTGCCGCGCGTTTTCCCCGCCCCACCCGACCTTGTTGTGAAAGCATGAAGTAATTATTCTCACTATTCTTCACATTTATATTTTTTATAATCATATTTTACTTATTTTTAGGTTGGAGGTTTGCTCATACAGTGGCTATAAAGTCTATCCTGGACATGGGAGAAGAGCAGTAAGGGGCGATGGTCGTGGATTTTATTTCATTAGCTCCAAATGTGAGCGTTCACATTTCTTGAAAAGGAATCCTCGAGAAGTCAATTGGACTGTACTCTATCGACGTAAATATAAAAAAGGACAGGTGGAAGAATCTGTAAAAAGGCGCAATAAGAGAGCTACACGCATCGTGCGGGACATCGCAGGCGCTAGTCTAGCTGATATACTGGCGAAGCGTAATCAAAAGCCTGAGGTCCGTAAGGCCATGCGCGAACAGGCAATCAGAGCCTCCAAAGAAAAACAACGCGCCAAAGAAACGGAAAAGAAACAAAAAAAGCTGGATGCCAAGAAAAAGCAATCTGCGCCATTCAAGCACAAAGCAGCCCAAAAGATTGTTTCTAAGCCAGCTCCTCGTGTTAGTGGAAAACGCTAATCTACTATCAAGAAATAAATTTGGATAGAATTTGGCTTTCTAATATTGGCTTACTTGTGGTATGTTCTGGTCTTTATTCTACACTGACACTTAAATTTACTGTAAGCTCTTGCTCTCTGAGCA